GCTTATTCAGGACTGTAGGGGCCACTTTAATTAAAAGCACAGCTGAAGGTATTAGTTGAAGCATCATGATCATTTCCTCCCTCCAGCAAAACCTTTTTCTGGAAGAAGATGACTTTAAAAAAAGAAAAGGGAAGGGTCTTCCATTGACTTCAGTGTAACTTAATGAAGTCATGCAACCTCTCTTAAAAAGAAAATTTCCCCTGCGCTGTATTATCCTTCCCAGCACAAGATCATAATTAAAAGCCTTAGGCCACCCACGCCTCCTCCATTGCTCAGTGAGACCTCTTCAAAGTATTAGCATCCTGCTGGGATAATGGAGAAGGCATGGGGGAAAAGAATGTAACTCTCTTCCTATAATGGCTATATAAATGGGGAAATTTTGGCAGGTGCCATTTTTTAAACTCCTGGCAGCACTCTGATATGTAATAAATAGCATTGAATGAAGTCCTCATTCTTCTATACAGCCATGAAGGCAGCAAGAGTTCTAAGTTGGAAATGCTACCCCGTGTCTTAGTGTTAGGCCTACAGCAGAGGTGGTATTCAGCAGGTTCTGACCAGTTCTGGAGAACCGATAGCGGAAATTTTGAGTAGTTTGGAGAACCGGCAAATACCACCTCTGACTGGCCCTGCCCCCCATCTATTCTCTGCCTCCCAAGTCCCAGCTGATTAGCTGGGTCTTTTTTTGTTGCCTTGCACAGGAGAACGGAGCTGGAAAGCAGGTTAGTGGGGTGGGGAGGGAATGGGGATTTTGCAGTAACCTTGCCCCAGGAGTGAGGTGGGAATGGAGATGTTACAGTATCCTTCCCCTGCCATGCCTATCAAGCCACGCCCATCAAGCCAAGTCAATCCCACCAAGCCACTCCCACAGAACTAGTAGTAAAAATTTGAATCCCACCACTAGCCTACAGAGTAGACCAAACTACGAATCTAATGTCATCAAAGGCAGAACTTTTATTGTAACAGCTATCATACAGAATCTTACAAGTCTGAATGTGCTCATTTTACCATTTATCATTTCAAAACCCCAGCTCATTTTATCATCATGTGATCTAAGACTGGGCCTGTCTGAGATGTTTTCTCCAATTAGGGTTTTATTTTATTTTATTTTTTGAAATGGACTTAAGCCCCACTTATCTGTGCATTACTTTGGTAGCTATACTTACTCCTATCTTTCAAGGCCGTTCTTTACTGCCGAAGAAGATCAGCAAGTTGCAGGATTTCTATATGATCATGGTTCAAGACTAAATCATAGCCAGCAATGTAGGAAGGTACTGTTGCCTGTTTGAACCTGGCAGTGTTGCTAAGAAAGGCAACATTTATCCATTTGAAAGACACTTAAGGGAGTTCTTAACTGGAGACACCAATGGATAATATTTGAGCTGAATTGGACGTTTCTGCAGTCAATTATGGGATTCTTGTTCTATCTTTGTTCATGCCATGATCTTATACAATGTCCACTATATTGAGCTAAGGCATCTTCTTCCATTAAACACATTAGAGCTATTGGTTCCATGCTATGAAGTTCTAAATTTCCTGTTGTTGTTTTTTGCAGGGGTGTAAATACTACTAGTCCTTGACTTAACCACCACAATTGAGCCTGGAAATTTGGTTGTAATTCATTGTGGTCATTACATGAGCCACCATGTGATCTGACTCAATTTTACAACCATTTTTTGGTCCTAAAGCAAGGCAGCAGTCATTAAATAAATCATATGCTCATTGAGTGAATCAGGTGATTAGTAGGTAAATCCAGTGTATCAAATGGGTGCTTTTTGCTGTTTTCTCCTGGAAAATGGCAAAAAAAATACAAATCTGCAACCAGTTGTAAATGCAAGGAAGTTGCCAAGTGTCCCAAATACAATCGTGTGTGTGTGTGTGTGCGCGTGCATGTGTTGTAATTTTTAAAAAGTCATTGTATTTTGAATGGTCATTAAATGTTAAGTGAGCAATTGTTAAGTGAGCACTACTCGTGATGAAACATCCCTAGATTCTCACTTTGTTTATGACATATTTGATTTGTTAAGCCTACAATGAATTTGATTTTATACTATTTTTTGCAAAGGCAATTTGGCACATGGCAGACATTATTTCACTCAATGAGAAACCAGGAACTAATAAAGTCCATGATACTGTTTAATAAACCTTGTTCCCAGGCAAATAAGAAGAGCATCCTCTGGAGTCTGATGTGCCACGAGATGATGCACATACTGCCTGTCCTCTGGGAAGAGGTGCGTGTGACAGCGATTGTGCTTTTGTTAATTGATAGTTTTTAAACGATGATTTATTCTTATCACCCATAGTCATCTGGAATCAGGTGCCTTATAAAATATGTTGATAGGCATGGAAGAAGGAAGGGGTTGGTTGCTTGGTTGCTTGGTTGCTCATTTATATGTTATTGGTGGGATAATGTCCACTTTATGACTTCCATTGGCTCTTCAATAGTTTCCAAGTGGATACTTGCCTCCAATCCTCCCAGCAATTATTTCATCACTTCTCTTCCTGTGTCAGAATAAATGACCTATTAGCATTTTGCACATTTCAGGCTCCCATTAACACCTCATTGACTTGCGCCTAGCAGTTGCTCTGAGGAAGTCACACGTTTACCATGTGTTGGATTACCATGAAGGAAAACATATCTTGGTTTTCAAATAGGGGAACCATGAAACTCTTAGGAAAGACCACTAGTGAACTGCAACAGCCACAGGCAAGGAACGTGGGGAAAACTCCTCCAAAAACTGAGTCTGTTGAGTGGACTCTGGGGCAAGCTTCAAGCACACACTGGCTTCTGTTGTGCTGTGGTTGTGGTTGTGGTTGTTTACCCTGAAGTGCTCTTTGGCTGGATGGATTGCGACCATAAACTGACGCTTGAAGGTCTCACTTAGGGCAATGTAGAGGAAAGGATTGAGACAGCTGCTGGCGTAGCCTAAGCTGATGGCAAAGTTGTAGGCATAGAAAAAGGCAACAGAAGGGGTGCCTATTCCCAAATGGACCAGCTGAAGGATATAGAAGGGTGCCCAGCAAATGAAGAAGGCTGAGCAGATAGCAACAGCCATCCGAGTGACCTTCTTGGTACGAGCCCGAAGACTCCTCTGTGGTAAGGGCACAACAGTGGTGGCCATATGCTGGAGGATTTTGAAATACACCACGCATATGATGATCAGTGGAATTGCAAAAGCTAGCATGAACTGGTAGATAGTGAACCAGTAGACATCAGTCTCGGGGTTGGGAAGCAAAAGAGCACACCGGACAGTCCCATCCTCCAAAGGCATCAGTCCTGCATACATCCACACAGGGATGATGGTCAGAAATGAGAGGAGCCACACCAGGCTGATAACCAAGGTTGCTACACAGGGAGTTCGGACATAAGTAGATCTGAGAGGGTAGACCGTGGCCAGGTAACGATCTAAGGTCATGACTGTCAGGATGTTGGTGCTCGTAATCTGGCTGTGGGTGTCCAGGGCGGTGATGATAGTGCACAACGGAGCTCCAAAATACCAGGAACCATTGCCAAGGAGTTGGTGGATGAGGAAGGGCATGCCCAGCAGGAATAGCAAGTCTACAATGGAGAGGTTGAAAATGAAGATATCAGGCACCGTCTGTTTGCACCGAAGCTTCTTCTTTTTGATGATGGTGTAGATCACAATAAGATTCCCGACTATGCCAAGAAAACAAATGATGCCAAACAAGCT